GAGCTAGAGATGTTTATAGGGCATTAGGCCCCTAGATGGTGCAAGGCTTCCTAATCTTCGTAATGTGCCTCGATATAGGTTAATAAAATTCTATGCTCATATTTAGTGCCTTGACCATTCCTCAAACGGTATTGTCTCTACTCCAATAGGAGGATACCTGTGAGCAATAGGGGAAAAAAAAATCTAGGCTCATAAGTTGTTCAGATTCCTAAGTAAATCTTAATTAACCAAATGGCAAAGGTACACATCTTAGTTCTAAAATAATAGTCACAGTTATGTAGCAAAATAAATAATAAAAATATAGTCGTACTAAATTATGCTGTCACAAGACTTATGTTTCAAGTTGACTTTAACTGTAGATTTACAAATTCCTTTTCTTTCTGGAGTAAAATTTTTTTTATCACAAGTTGGATCGATATCTTGTATATTATGCATTTGATTCATGATTGGTGCTCATATAGGACCTGTTTGCGGACTTGCGTTCCAATATGACTCGATATACATCAATTGAAGAAGTGAATGCAGCTCTTGTAGAGCTTGAAGAGCATGACCGTATTGTTTCTTCTGACAAGGCCAGTAGTGAAAAACATTCTGACACTGAGAAACCTTCAAGTAGGAGTACATCTCATGCTACAGCAGGGAGCAGGCAAAGCATTGATAATGGTACAGAAGACAATGGAATGCAAGATGATCTGAATGACAGTGAGAGTTATTCGGGGAGTGAAGTAATTGATGTTGAGGGACATGATGATGAGGAGTTGGACGAGGAAAATCATGGTTATGGATGCGAGAGTGAAGATGAGGATGATGATGATGATGGTGCTGTCCCTGTTTCTGATGAGGAAGATGAAATCCATGTGAGACAGACAGTGTTAGATGTGGACCCTCTAGAAGAAGCCAGTTTCGATCAGGAGCTCAAGGCTGTTGTACAGGCAAGGAACTGCGTTTGTTTACTTTCTCCAGCTCATTTCTGTGAAGTTATAGCTTTCCTTTTATTTTTTTTATCTGTTTCATTCTGAATTTTCAGCTTTAGAACATGGTGAAATACTGTCTGGGTATTATAAGTCCGTGTTTAACTTGCAGAAAAGTGTTTTCTAGAAAAGAAAGAGAAAATGTACCAAACATTGCATACAATATGCTATAGCTTTATTATTATTATTATTATTATTTGGGTCTCATTAATTTAGATGGAAAAGATGGGTGATACTGGGTTAAAGATTGTAGTTAGTAGATTCTGTTCATTTTTTTAGATGAAGGAAATTTAGTGGGGAAAAAGAAGTGTGCTGTAGATGATGTTAGGCTGTCAGTTATAGCTTTGAATCACACGATTTGATGTTTTATGCAGGAAAGTATGGAACAACGGAGGCAAGAGCTGCGAGGTCGTCCCACATTAAACATGATGATTCCAATGAACCTGTTTGAGAGTTCCACCAAAGATCATCATGCAAGAGTTGGTGGGGAAAGTGGCGATGAAGCTTTGGATGAAGAGGCGGGTGGAAACAAAGAGGTACAGGTGAAAGTTCTTGTGAAGAGAGGAAACAAACAACAAACGAAGCAGATGTACATTCCCCGAGATTGCTCATTGGTGCAGAGTACAAAGCAGAAAGAAGCAGCTGAACTTCAAGAGAAAGAAGACATCAAAAGGCTTGTCTTGGAATATAACGATAGAGAAGAAGAGGAGTTGAATGGATTAGGGAGCCAGCCAACAAACTGGATGCCGAGTGTAGGCAACAAGGGTGTTGGTCGTGGCAACACTTTGGAAGGAACCAGCGGCAGAACTGGTGGATCACGGCATCGGCATCATAGTCATACCGGTAGCGGAGTCTACTATGGTCGAAGAAAGTGAATGATACAAGATATATTCTGAGACCATATCAGGCCATCCTCTCAGCAAGCTAAAAATTGGAAAGACAGTAGTCTCAGCATGCGAAATACGGGAAACAATGGCAGGATTGGCAGATTTAGGCATTGGTATCATAATCTATCAATGTCTTTTTCTACTTTTACCCGGTGCTATTCAGATACTCTGTCAGCAGCTTAATCTCTTGTTGGTTAAGAAGCTGGAGTTTGTTGGTGAATACAATGTGGAATGAGGCTCAGTGCAGTTGGTTTATCACCAACAGAGATACTGGAAATTTTGGGGCGACGTGTTAGATGCTGATGAAATCCTGTATAACCATATCCATATCCTACGTTCTACTTATTGTATAGCCCACCTTATGAACAGACACTATTATGTTGAAGATAAAGATGTGATTTTCCTTCTGTATTTTTTTTTCTTTTGGGTGCATAACACAGAAAAATTCAATGTTAATTGAAATCATGGCTGGACTAGTAGTGATGTAAAGTGAGAGAATGAGGTTTGAAGACTTAGTCCAGAATGATGAATATGCTAGAATATGGAAGTGATTTTACATGGTACTAATTTGACATTCACCTCCTTATTTGAGATGAGGTTTGAATTCACTTTCTGGAGATTGAGGTTTATGTATGTTAGTTTCCCTGCAATAATTATAGAAATAAATTAGAATGAACACAACATATTACTTAATCAATGCTTGCCTTATTTGACAGTCAGCTCCTGTCAAATTAACTGCTAATAGAATGATGGGATGAAGTTTTTTGTTCTTTAAATTTGCTTCAACTAGTAATTTAGTTTTTCAACTTAATTTTTATTTAGTTTCTTATATCATTTTTTTAAGTCGTCATGTTAGTCTTCTAGGTTTAGAACTACAAATCGATCTTTAAATTAGTAATTTAATACGCAATGCATGTTGATGGGTGGGTGGGGGAGTGTGTGTAAAGGTTCAAGTTAAAATTCATGGAGAACAATTACTTTAAAAATATTTTAAAAACAGGTAAACTAAAGAATGAAAAATAAATTTAAAAAAATAAGTTAGAATTTATCGAGCTGTAAGTCAAGCTGTGTGTTGATAATCCAGTAATTGTTTTGTAGCCAGAAGAACATCTAGTTGAAGCAAGCAATGGAGATCGAGTGAGGCTAATGAAGAAAAACTAAGGAAACTAAGGAAGTCAAATGACTTATTAAGTAGGCACAATTAATAGATTAAATGCTGGTGACCTTGGTTTGCACAAATCATGAAGTAAAGAAGCACTAGTTGTGCAAATTCAACATCTATTTACATTTCATATCTTGACAGTACGATTGCAAGACGTAGAGCAGAAATAAAGCAAACCAAAAACTTCAATAGCATTTGATAACAGTGAAAGGAATATCAATACTGAGACAATGTTCTTATCAAGCATGGGGAGGAGATTTGTTCTAAGGAACTAAGAAAAGGTATTCTTCTGAATGTTTTATAATTCTCAGAATGAACAATTACAAGCTTAAAACTAAAATAATACAAATGTGTGGAACATAAGGAATATTATGCTTGTAATGATATTTGGGAGAACAATTTGTAAGGGTTGAGAGTGATGCAAGACTATGGTAGGGGCAAGAGGCTCGGAGTCAGGAAGAGTATTTCCATAGACAAATTGATAAAAATGAAAGGAAAAAATTCAATATTTTTGGAGATTGAAATTTAATTTGAAGATTTAGAAATATTTTCTTAATTATTATAATTTTTAAATTATTGTTATCTTTTAACAATTATCGTTTTCATTTAGAATATTTTTGTTTAAATTAAGGTCTATAAATAGTGATTTAATAGGTTTAATTTGTATGGTTATAAAAGAGAGTCAAATTTTTAAAAAATTAAATTAACTTCAAATATGAATGCAATCCAACCCTGCCTGTTCTGGTTTCTCCATCTCATCTCAATTCAGTTTTACTCCCCCATTTGTTTCCCTTTCTCTTTTTTATTATTATTATTATTTAATTTAAATGTGGACTTCAATTTCAAAATGCATGCCGGTCTTCTCTTTTACCCAAATTTTATATTCAAAACGCGTATCACATTCACAAGTGACATTTCCCCCAGTGGCTTCTATTGATCAATTAAAAACTCCAGTAAACATAGACAATATTCTGTTATATATATATATATATATATATCTAATGAGCATAGTTTGAGCTTAACCTTTGACAAACAGCATTTTATATACATTTAGCCAACAAATTGAGGGCTACAAATTTATTTAAATATCTACAACAACAACAACAAGTCTTATCTTAATAGATGAGTTGCACGACATCACTATGCTTTATTATCAACTAAGCTTTTAGAATATTGTTAATTAAAAATTTCGTTCAACAATTTTTATAAGTATTGTCTTTGATCTTCCTCTATCTCTCTTTAAAGAGCTCAAAAGTATTTATTTCACCCTCCTCATCGATGCCTCTCAACCTCATCTATATATGTCTAAATAATCTTAAATAATTTTCTATTATTTTTTTCTCAACATTTATAATGAAAAAATTCAGCCCAGAAATGGAGTTTAGAAGTTGACAATGGCCTATACATAATTAGAATGGAAAATTCAGATTTTCTTGGCAAATTAATAAGATATTGGAAGGGCTAGCGGGACTTCCACAGGTGATGGTGACAGGTAAAACTGTAAATTGGTGCACGGCAGGTAAAGATCATGACAATTATTTGCAATAGATTACATGGAATTTCCTGACTCCAAGTGATATTAAATTCTTGGGATAATGATTTTTTTTCAAGATTGTTTTAATTACCAATATAAACTTTATTATTTAAAAAGAAATTAACACTGTTAAAATTTGTTGACACGGATAGAGAAATATTGATGATAGCCTTGTACATTAATAAAAAAAAATGTGATTATTTAAGGAGGGAGAAAACAGACAGAAATTTAAAAAAAAATAACGAACAAAATACATTATAAGGATCATTATGATAAAAATTAAACTAATTTAAAAGCTAATTTGTTATCATTTATACATTGGCTTTATTTAAGAGTCGATTCACATTTTAAAACTTGAAAAACTAACATGATAATTTAAGAAAAATATAAAGAATTAAATTAATAAAAATTAAATTTAAAAAATTAAATTGATAATTAAGATGAACTTGAAAGACTAAAAATTTTATTATTCCTAAATTCTCAATACATGTTCAGGAGAGAGGAAAACAAAAAAGGGTAAGAAAAACTCAGATTATTCCTTTCACATCAAGAAAATAGCAGTCATCAAGAGGCAGGAGACAAACTGTGAACCGATTGAAAAACTTACGCTCCATGAACCCATTGAAAAGCCATAAACCCATGAAGGAAGAATGAAAAGGGAAGAAACAGATAGACGAAAAACCCACTTTTTTGGTTGTAAAAGTACTAACCCAATGGGTGTCAGAGTTTATACAGAATTTTTAGGTGTTTTCCTCATATGTGCTTACTATTTTTCATCTTTAGCTGTGGCTTAGATACTCTTACGGCATCTGAGAGCATGAAAGATCCTGATACCCTTACCTCTGATAGCACCAATTTCACACTTGGATTTTTCAGCCCTGAGAATTCATCCAATCGTTACCTAGGAATTTGGTACGTGTTAAAAACCACTGTGGTATGGGTGGCTAACAGAAACGAACCTCTCACAGATTCTCCTGGGATTCTGAAGATATCTGAGAATGGCAATCTTGTCATGCTAGATGGAGAGGAACATGTTGTTTGGTCATCAGATGGATCAGACAATGACACGTCCCATGTCATCTTGCAGCTTCAGGATTCTGGAAATCTTGTGGTGCAGAACAACATCACAGGAATAGTGATCTGGCAAAGCTTCCACCATCTTTCTAATACAATACTGCAACGCACTAATGGTGGTTTTAATGCACAAACAGGTCAGAAATTCATGTTGACATCATGGAAGAGCCCTTCTGATCCATCCGTGGGAAGCTTTACAGCTTATATGGGACAGAGTACAGTTCCTCAACTGTTCGTTTGGAACAACAGTCACCCGTATTGGCGTGGAGGTCCGTGGAATGGTCAAATCTTCACTGGCATACCGAATTTGAATAATCAGTATCTCAATGGATTAACTTTTCAGAAAGAAAATGGTACTTTCTATTTACATTTTGTATATATAAACCTGTCACCTTCATCATTCTATATGTTGAACTTTGAAGGGATATTGGTATTTAATAGTTGGGATGACAATAAGAAAGAGTGGGTGCCTCAATGGACAGTACAGCAATCAGACTGTGACCTTTATGGTATTTGTGGATCTTTTGGAAGCTGTGATCCACACAGAAAGCCAATTTGTAGCTGTTTGAGAGGTTTTGTACCAAGAAATACAGAAGAATGGAATAAAGGAAACTGGACTAGTGGGTGTGTAAGGAGGAAACCATTGAAGTGTGACAGGGTCAAAAATGAAACCAGGAATGGATATAATTATGATGATGATGATGATGATGATGATGGGTTTGCGCAATTAGAGAATACCAAAGTTCCAGACCTAGTAAATTGGACTCTCATTGCATCAGCATCACCAGATTGCAGAATCCAGTGCTTGAACAATTGTTCCTGCTTAGCATATGCCTATGATGCTGGCATTGGTTGTATGATGTGGAGTGAAAATCTTATTGACATACAAAGGTTCTCAAGTGGTGGCCTCGAACTATACATTCGACTGGCAAATTCAGAACTAAGTAACTCATCAATTCCTTTGCTCAGTGCTTGAAATCTAATCCCTCAGCTTATTGGGACTAATGATTTTGTTTTAATGCATTGCAGAAGTAAAGAGTAAGAGCAAATTAGCAGTGACAATTTCAATTCCATTGACAATAGGAACAATTCTTATCGCAGCTTTTGCATATATCATGTGGAGACGTTCTGCTAAACATCAAGGTAATTATACTCAAGAATAAAGAAAAGCAATTGATTTGATCATGGTACTTTAAGCCAAAATGTTGCAGATCAATTCATTTATTATTATTGATTATCTTGAGGTTCTAAGAAAATATCAATATATGGCCACTTAGGAAATTGTTCAATAATAATAACTTTTTATCTTTCGCGAACTATATGGCATACCACAACAATAACAGTATAAGAGAAGATTAATTTTCATTTAGCAATGTGGTCTTTAAGTTTCAACAATTGAATATGAAGTAATTTTCAATTGTAAATGAAATGACGATACAGTAATATGTTATCAAAATGGAAACTTGGAGAATTATTTAGGGGGAAAAAAAAGAAGCCAATTTTTATACACATAGTTGATTCAACTTTCAGTTTAATTGATTTTGCATGGCATTTTCGTTGGCAACTACATTCTCTTTTCATATTGCCGTTATATTGCACCTGACACGTCTCCTGCACTTTAATGGACTTTGGGGTTTGCATAATAAAGCCACAAAAGAAGTCATCCAATAAATGTAGGCTTTTTTTTTTTTTTTTGAATGTGAACTGACATTTTTCTTTTCTTTTTTTTTTTTCCATTCTGAATGTATATCATTGTTATTGCCAGAAACAGAAGAACCATTAACAATAGTAGACGATGAAATCTCTAGTGAGATGCTAAAGGAACTACCACTGTTTGAATTTGAAAAGCTCGCAGTCGCAACCAACAACTTTCATTCTGCTAATAAGATTGGACAGGGTGGTTTTGGCCCAGTATACAAAGTATGTCTAGCCGTATAAAGCTCATCTTCCATGAACTTACAAAGGTTATCAAAACGTTTTGAAAATATTCTTGTAGGGAAAATTGCAAGATGGACAAGAAGTTGCAGTTAAAAGACTTTCAAGCATAACAGGACAAGGCCATGAAGAATTTATGACTGAGGTGGTGGTGATTTCGAAGCTTCAACATCGCAATCTTGTGAGACTTCTTGGTTGCTGTGTAGAAGGAGGCGAAAAGATGTTAATTTATGAATACATGCCAAATAAAAGTTTGGCAGCATATCTCTTCGGTTAGTAAAGCTTAACTTTTCTTTACAAAAGTAGTTTGTGAAAAAGAAATTTCAGTTAAAAATATGCATATAAGCTACGGAAGCAAGAGGGAATACTTATTTCATTGTTGTAGATTCTAGTTTCCTCAACATTAGTTTCTAGTGATTCAACAAATGTATTTTCCACTTGGGATATATTGCAGATCCACTCAAACAAGATGTCCTTGATTGGCAAAAGCGTTATCATATAATTGAAGGAACTGCTCGAGGTTTGCTCTATCTTCACAGAGATTCAAGACTAAGAATTATACATAGAGATCTCAAGGCAAGCAACGTCTTATTAGATCAAGAGCTGAATCCTAAGATATCAGATTTTGGTACAGCAAGGATTTTTGGAGTTAGCAAAGATGAAGGCCATACAAGAAGAATAGTTGGAACATAGTAAGTTAACCTTTCTCATTGTATTTAGCATGGGAATCCAATATTCTCCAAGAGCTAACTGCTTCAATGTTTAAATGCATGTGCAGCGGCTATATGCCTCCAGAATATGCAATAGAAGGAATTTTTTCGGAGAAATCAGATGTCTTTAGTTTTGGAGTTTTGCTATTGGAGACAATTAGTGGGAGGAAAAGCACAAGCTTCTACAATGATCAGCAAGCTCTAACTCTCATAGGATTTGTACACACTCTAAAATTTAACTTTTTCATATATTAGAGTTAACATCTAAAGCTCATGGTTATTTTTTGTTTTCAGGCGTGGAAACTATGGAATGAAGAGAACATCATGCCTTTAATAGATCCTAAGATACATAACCCACAGTTTGGAAAGGATATGATGAAATGCATACATATCGGATTATTATGCGTGCAAGAACTTGCAAAAGACCGACCTACCATGGATTCTGTTATCTTAATGCTGCACAGCAAGATTGTCAATTTGCCTTTCCCCAAGCAACCAGCTTTCGTCAATTGGCAGGCTGCATTTGCAAAGAGTTCCCATAATCAACAAAATTCTACCTCCAATTATCATGTCACTATCACAAACATCCAGGGTAGGTAGAACTATCCTGTTATTTCACTTCTAATCATGTTTTCGATTACGTCTTTTATCACGACTTTGTAGTGCCTTCAGGACTTGAGCAATGCAATATTAACTCCGGTGTGAAACTGTAATAGTAAATGGTGAATTGGCTCCATGTAATTCAGGCACTGACAAGTTTTAAAATCTATGGAGGATATACTTCCAATTTTCGATCAATTCAATGGTACAGATAAAAATTTAAATAGGAATGTAGTTCTTAGCAATTAGCAAACCATACTGTTGATTAACACCATGAGTTGTAGCAGGCTTATAAAGATAAGTAATTCTGGATTTTCTATGTAGATCTAAATGTTCAAACAAATTTTTGATTCTTCATAAATTATAACATAATTTCATATTCGTAATCAAGTTTTTCTTTCTAAACTTATATTCAATCCCCTAATTACTTATATCATTATGAAATTGTTCAATCAAAATATGATAAATTTATAATTTTGTTAAGTGATAAAATGACAATTGCATAATCAACAGGGGGTTGAGTCTAGCAAAAAAAGCTAGTTCTTCATAATGCAACTAATTAAGGTTTGAATCTCCATTAAGAAAGGTGCCCACATTTAGTATTTAACCGGACCTTGAATTGGCCTCTAGTAGGAGGACGCCTATGAGAAATAAAAAAATGACAATTGCATAATTTTTGCTATTAAGTGCATGGTTTTTCAACTAAATTATATACTTGTCATGTTTTAATTAAAATTTCATATGATTGTAACATTTTAATTCCAAATCCTAATAATAAAGATATAGGGAATCAATGTCATCAACATAAATTTATAGCAAACTATATTATTCACAAGCCATGAACAGTGGGGTTAATTTCTCAAACTCATTGAACTCAAATCCTTCCATAATCATCATTTGCATGAAAGCTACAATTTCCAAGAATTCAAAACTTAATCAGATATCTATTCATTATCGGCCATTATAATAAGTTGAAAATGCCTATTCTTACTCTCATGTTTTTACCCAGACATCTTATAAGGACAGAGACCCAACAACAACAAAACTTGACCATTGAACAGCTGAACCCCTCTGCGAGAGAAATTTTAACCTGTCTTCAAGCTTTGAAATTGGTAAGACTTAGTTATAAGCCTTTCAAACTTTTAGTCGATAATCACTCAGCCTTATCAGAAGATCACATTCACCTCATGCATTTCTCAGCTAGTATCATCTACCTTGTAACCTAACAGACTCAATCTAAGCCCCCAGCCTATCTGTGTGTGTCTCCGTTTGTCCTGTTGCATGTCATAATCATTTTGCATTACACGCTATTTAACCACTGCTTGATTAACAAAGCTGTCCTGATTTGCATGTGTCCTCAAGAATCCATTCATATCAACTCTCTCTCTTTCTCATTCCACAAATAGCCTACTTGTTGATGGCCTCCCTGATTCATCTCCATCCTCTGCATTCAAAGCATAATGGCTGTAAGAGCATTCTCAATCTTTCTCCTCCTTGATAAACCCTCTCATATTTCTCATCCGACACTGTTAATCCCCAAAACACCAAAAATCTCATCTTCCAAGCATTATACTTCTAACGAAAATGGCGACTTGAACGTCAATCACACCTTTATTTCACCCCATGAGAAAGCTGTGTCCTTAGCCAGGGAAGAAGGGTAATCGACTCGAACAAAGTAAGGATTGGAGAATTAAAACAGAAGAGGGAACTCACCTGAGAATGGAATAATGGATGTATAACAAGGCTTCCGTTTTGGTTCATCGAGAGCTTCTCAAGCAACTCGACGTCGGATGAAGAACAGAGCCGCAATCAACGAAGCAGCTATCTCACGCGGGGTGCTTTGATGGTAAAAATACTTTTGATTGGAACGAAAACTACAAAAGAATTGTTAATCGAAATGGCTGATGGAAATGTTGGGCAAGAGGGGGGGAAATGTGTTCGTTAAACTTAAAATATTCTTTTGGACTTCGGAAACGTTGTGAAGTCTAATTTTGGGTTATGATTGTTTAGAGGGATTTCAGAGAAAGGGAAAAGAGGGAGGCGAGGGAAATGGAAATAATACTTTGTTTGGATTTTGGAGGAAAAAAAACAAAAAGAAAAATATCCTCATCATATATTTTTACGGTTAAGTAGTGAAGGTGATATGGGAATATTAAAAAAGATTAATGTTTAAATTTTTTTATATATATTTTTTTAAAAGTATTGAAACTTTTACTTTTTAACTTTTAAGAAAAGTAATTTTTATTTTAAGATATTTTTTTTTTTAGATCCAAAATTGTCCTTTTATTAACCAGGCGTGAAATCAACCATTATCAGCAACTTGTGGGGCCCAGAATGATTCTGATTTTGCTTCAAAGTTGGCTAGTCTGACTATTTTGACCAGCTACTGGGAAGACAACGTTGATGTCACAACACACGATACCACACACACAAAAACTCACAGATGATGGAGGTTAGAGGCTCAGAGGATAAGGTCGACGAAGGAAGACCAGGAAAGACGATACTGGAACTGAAAGGAGTGGTGGAGTCTAGAAAATAAAATGCACCAAAAAGCTGAGACCAGGGACAGTGGAACCACTGTAGCAAAACCAATGAATGAATGAAGGGAACTAGGGAGGCTGGAATCTGAACAAGTGACGTGGACGAGTGAAGTAGTGAACCAGTGACAACATGACCCCGAGACCAGCACCTGACGCGCATAGATGAGGTCGAGGAAAGAAAGGAGATGAGGTCGAAGATTTCAAAGTCGTCGATGTCACAGTTACACATACATACACTGGAATTTCCAACAGAGGAAAGGAGAAGGGATTTCGCAGCAGCACACACACTGAGCCGTGGGCTTGAGATGAGGTCACACACTCACATTCACGCGACAATAGTGAGATGCACTAGCTCCTAGGAAGATGCCATTGAGGTCCCAACACATGGAGTCACAAACGGCGAAGGTCTGAGGCTCAAAGAATGAGGTTGACGACGATGAGTGAAGAAAAGAGTGAATTGAGGAGATGAAGGAAGACTGGAAAAGAAGACTGGAACTAGAGAGGAGTGGTGGAGTCTGTACCCTTTTCTTAATGCTTTTCGTTGACGACGATGAAGATTCAGCCACTCCCAAGGCCTTAAGTGGCTGCCACTGCAACTTGAGGGAGAAGCAAAGCAAGGAAAACGATGAAGACGATGAAGAAGAGAGTGATGTATCTAGTCAAAAGGGTCAAACTAGCTAGCTTTGAAGCCGAGTCAGAACCACATGTGGATCCCACCAGTTGCCACTTCAGCATATAACAGCAAATTTCACGCTTGGCTAGTAGAAGGACAATTTTGGACTTTAAAAAAAATACCTCAAAAGAAAAATTGTCTTGCTTAAAAGTACAGAGCATCCAATATTCTTAAAAAAAAAAGTATAGGAGTAAATTTAAACTTTAACCCTATTAAAAAATTATGACTATATTAGTAAAAAAAACTTACAAAAAAATAACCTTTGTTGGCTAAATTTCTTGAGCTTCGTATTCCTTGCATGTACCAAACGTGCTTGAGGAGCTATGCCTTCCATGTATGTGAGGATCAATGATTGCACCAAGGTCCTTTATCACAATTTTCTTCAAATGCCTAAGCTATTAAGAGTCTTACACACTATTTGGTTCGAAGGAGGGGAGCAAAGGGATTTTATGCTTTGTTTGGATTGAGAGAAAATATGAGAAGGAAGAAAACATGGGAAGAACATAAAAGAGAAAATAAGTTTTGCCCTATTTGAATGAGAATGGAAAAGTGATAAAAAATATAGGAGAAAATGACGTATGATACTCATCATATTTTTCTCCTAACTTTTTCTCTTTATAAGTGAAGAAATTTTGAGAGTAAATTTTTTCCCCATTGTTTGCCCTCCTCTCTCCCTCTTCCTTCCCTATTATATGTTTTTATGATCACAAAATGTCTATACTTTCATTTTCCTATCTGTTTCCAATCTGAGGTGTCAGACTTTGTAAAAAAGTCGAAAAAATGAAAAGAAGTATAATACTAAGGAAACAATATAAGAAGGGAAAATTTCACTGAAAACTCTTTGATCATACATATTAAAAAAGAAAACCTAAAAAATACTAATATATCACTACAAGGTCAAGGCACCAATTTAAGATTAAATTTTATAGCCAAATGACAGTATTGGCCCTCATTGAAAGAAAAAAGATGAACATAGATCAAGAAAATAGACAACGCATGCAGTGAATTTGAAGATCACAGACACCTCTATCGTTAAAGATGAATCTCTCCAAGACTTGAACTAGGGTGATTGAAGATCTGCGAGATCTCTGCCAACTTTCAAGACTTAAACTAAAGGATCGACTCTTATATATAATTAATTACAAGCGAGGATTATTTATCATAATTATAAATCTTAAAATACAAAAAAATATAAATATAGATCCGAATCTCTCCCTTGAACTAAGGCATCTGAAGATCAGCGACACCTCCATCGTTGGAGTTCCTATGCAAGAATTATTTGACAGAAGAAGAACTATGAGTAATGTGCAAAACCTGGTCAGAGAAAACATACATGTTATACTAATATGTCTCTTATATATCGGTATGTGTTTGAAAAAATTTCAAGTAAAATATATCGGTAAAACATGATCATACTGGTATGTCTATGATATATCGGTATGTGTTTGAAAGAATTTCAAGTGAAACATATTGATAAAACATGCTCATATTGGTATCATTGCCTTACTGTGTGTGGTTAATTACCTTATGATAATTGTTAATTTTCCTGTCACACTTGTTTATTACAACATTGACTGAAAGAATTTCAAGTAAAACATACTGAAAGAATTTCAAATAAAACATATCGGTAAGTATAATACACCGGTATGTCTCTAATGTACCAATATGTGTTTGAAAGAATTTCAAGTGAAACGTATCGATAGAACATGATCATACCAGTAGGATTTCATGTTTGAACGATTTGTTCATTATCTTAGTGCGTGTGGTTAATTACTTTACGATAGTTGTTAATTTCCTTACCATACTTGTTTGTTATAATATTGACTAAAAGAATTCCAAGTAAAATACACTGGTAGAACATGCTCATACCAGTAGGATTTTATATTTGAATGACTTGTTTGTTGTCTTAGAATGTATGGTTAATTACCCTGTAACAGTTATTAATTTCCCTACCACACTTGTTTTTTACAACACTGACTGCTTTCCAAGTGTTGGTTTGATATTTGAATGACTTGTTTGTTACCCTATTATGTGATGTTCATTATCCTACCACATGTTTTTAATTTCCCCACCTCACCTGTTCTTTACAACAAGCATATATGGCAAAGGAATTGAAAAAGATATTGGTATGTAACACATACACTGGTAAGAAGCACATATACAAGTATAAGAGGGACAAACCGATATGAGTCTTTGATATGCATAGGGGAGTAGCTAAGAAGGAGATACCAATATATAACACATATATCGATAAAAATAACATATGTCAGTATCAAATGCTCAATGGAACCCTTTTCAACTCTTCTATGTCTAAACTGATGGAAGAATAACACCGACTAAAAGAAGCTGCGAGGTCAGAGGCAACGGTTTGACTAGCTAGTAACTCGGTCAAGGGAGATTCTTGGGTAGGAATTCTGACAATAGAGGTGTCACTGATCTTCAGATTTGAGAGTTTGGGAAGCTTGAGTGCGTCGTCTGTGAAAATCAAAGATGTGTCTGATGATAGGTAAGATGAGAATTTGTCTAAGTGAAATTTTCCCACTTACTCAAGAGAGATTCTATTAGTTCAAGTTTGAAATGGAGGTGTCACTGATCATGCATCATGGTTGAGCCAACAAACAATTTTTTCTTTGTTCTTACAGTTAGGGGCATTATTGTCATTTGGCTATGAAATTTAATCTTAAATTAGTGCCCTTGTCTTGTAGTGATATTTTAATATTTTTGGAGTCTTCTTTTTTATTAAGTATGGCTAAAGGCTCCTGAGTGAAATTTTTTCATGTAAACTGAACCTTTGACATTTCTAATATAAGAACAACCTCATTGTTTCTAATATAAGGCACTAAAAAATCTCCAATCATTGGTAATATATTGTGAAATCTTTTATTTAGTTTTAAAAAGTGCCCACTTTTAATTTTTTAAATGTAAAAATAACATATTTGTACTAAATTATTTGATTTTAAAATATAATAATATGAAAATACATTTTTAACAAGTAATTTGATTATGTTAATTTTAATATAATTTATATTTTTAATTTATTTTTACAAATATAATTACATGAAACATGATATATTTTGACTTTGATATAAGGATATTATAGTTATTATAATATTTGCTCATTTTCTTTTCTTTTTGTTTTCTCTTGTTCATCCAAATATAAGGAGCAATAATATTTTCTTTTTAATTTTATCTTCTCTCTATTTTCTTTCCTCTAAACTTTTCTTCTCATCCAAATAGAGGATTCATGGAAGGGGAATTTTAATCTTTAATGTTATTTTGCTTGGTTCAGGAGGGGAGGGGAAATAATTATATTATGGACAACTATATCCTTGTCTTATAAAATTTTTTCCCCTATCTTTTATAAATAGATATAAAATATACATGTGAAGTTTAAAGAAATATTAATAAAAACATAATGTGAGTTAAATTATAATTACAATATATAACTATAATTCCTTTTATCCAAAAATATATAATTGTAATCATAATTATATAATTAATATATATAATTAACTATATAATTATAGACCCGTTTATCTCCTCCTAGTTTTTTTTCTATCATCGCCGTCAGATGCATTTTCAGTTCGAGGAGAAAAATATAATACAAAATAAGTGTATGGGCAACTAAGCAAGTACATGCACGAGTGCCTATCTTGTTGGTGTAAAAAATTGAAGTAGCAGCTAGATTAGATTTTATTTGGGGAGGAGCATTTTGGATTGGCAAAATATGATATGGGTAAATTTATTACAACACAACGAAATTATACCCCTTCCATTCATTGGCCCCCATTTTGGAGGGTAGGGGAGGAGAAGGAAAATGTCAAGAAAATTTTTTCTCTCCTCCTCCCATTTTCACTACCCAAACAAGGGGAGGGGAGCAAAATTCCTCCCCTCCCCTCTTCTTGAACCAAACAAGTATCAAAGAATAAATGAGTTCCTGAGGAAGTAAATATTCACTATTTGGAAGTGATTACAAGTTTTGAAAACAGGTGCTTTGATGATCGAATGATTGTATTAGTCACTTATATACCAAGTTCAAATACTAAGTCTAACCTTAATGTATTGATAATTTTCATATTTTACACATATTTGCCTCTCACATCTTGTTTATTTTGCACTTGTTTTGATATATTTTGGAATACTTGGGTCATATTTGTGATTAAAGAGTAAAGAAATATTTTTAAAATTTTTTTGGGATTTACTGGATATTTTTTCAGATTTTATTAAATATTATTTTTAATTTCTAAAAATACATTTTATATTGATTTTATTATTTTATGTGTAGGTATCTGTGTGGAAAATAGGAAGAGGATAAATTTAAAAAAAAAATCTTTTTCTTCTTTTTATTTTATTTTCTTCTCTGTTTATTTTTAATATTTTTCCTAAACTATTATTGATTCCATTCCATTCCATCTCATCATCAATTCCACTTCCCACACTTTCCACTCTTTTAATTTTTTTACATGGCAATTCTTTTTCCATTTCATCAAAATTGGAATTACCATCCTTTAGCTAATTTTCCAAATCTGAAATTAATTTCCAGAAAATTAAAAAAAAAGGATCACAATTCACTCAAATTCATGTTAAGCTTGTTCTTTAATTACCACCGGCTCTTCTCCTTTTGAATTCAACAATCACGTGCTGCACACTTCAATTCTTCTCTCCAATCTTTCACAATTCATATACGTCCAGAACCATTTTATCTCATTTGGCATTCACAATTGAATACCTCGCTCTCTCATCGCTTCACGCATTCCATATTTCGAATTCGGATACACAACTTCAGAATTCACAATCGCACAGTCGCTCTCTCTTGGGATTCATTCATTTCTATTGTGTTCTTCTGTCTCTCATTTTCACTTCTCCCTCTCGTCTTTCACTCCCTCTCTCAGATTTTGCATCATTCCTCCCTCAATTTCAGATTCAACCCGACAAAAACACTCCTCACAAAGTCCACACAAGAACCTCCATCTTGGTTCGGTCGTTCTCTTCTATTCTCATCAACCGAGCTCTTCATTTTCTTCCATCAATGGCTGAATTTTTCTGCACATACAGCCTAGAATGGGTTTTGAGCCTCACTTGATGC